ATAATATCAACTGAGCTTCCTTGGTCGAAGAGGATTCTTCAGACGTCAAAATTTGTCACTTGGGCTCTCACGAGCAGAGGGATACTGGTGTTGGGGGCTCCACCGAGGAGCTCCTCACAGTAGAAGCAGATGGGAACAGACTCTCCCCGGACCCCATTGAGGGTGGAATTCCAGTTTGAGTTGTTGATAATAAGGTGCTCAAATTTTCTTTTGACGAACCCTACTGTGACTTTATTGAAGCCCCCTCCGGAGATGACCATGGCGGAGGGAAAACTCTCTCACGGGTTGTACGCGGCAAAATATGGAGGGGCGTTGATTCCCTCGGGGATGTAAAAATCTTCAGGACGCCAGGTGCTCATAGCAACTTGAAGGTTGGCTTCCTCGTAGGAAGGTACCTCTTCTTCGACCTTCTGGGATTCCTGGGCGTATGACCGATGAGCGTCTTTTTGTTTAGCAAAATGCTTCAAATGTCCGTCCCTGATGAGTATCTCTATGGCATCCTTCAGGTGGATGCAGTCGTCGATCATATGGTTGTGTCTCTTGCGGAATCGGCAATATTTTGACTTGTCAATGTTGGATTTAGACGGTATCTGCTTTGGGAACCAGACTCATGCCTGGCGAAATTCTGAGTTGGTGCATTCAGAAAGAATCTTCTCCGTTGAAACTGTCAGGGGAGTGTATTTGTGGAACCGGTCGGATGGCCCTTTGTTGTCCCGGGGCTCTCGAGGACGGTCTTCTCGTTTTTTATTACCCTGATGGGATGTCGAGGGCTCGTCAGACCTGGAGGTTCGGGCATTCTCCTTGTGCCTAGAATCACGGGAAGAGCCGATAGCCTCCTTCTTTTCATACTGAATGTACACTTGTGCTTTGAGGAGGAAAGCGTCTAGCGTTGTTAGGGGGCGGATGCCCACGGCTTTAGCAAATTCGGTGCGGGGACGAAGCACGCGCTCGAGGAAAAACTTTTTCATGTCATCGATTGTAGAAACTTAGACGACCTCCTTATTGAATCTTTCGATGTAGGCTCACAGGGGTTCATTTCTACCTTGAAGGATGGCTCAAGGGAGGCTTCGGTCTTCGGGTGGCGGCGAGAGGCCGTGAAATGTCTGGAGAACGGTCTCCCCAATTGTCTCCATGAGGTGATGGAATCGTCAGGGAGTGCTTTGTACCGGGTCATCGCCCTTTTCCTAAGTGTGGTCGGGAATAACCTACATTTGATAGCGCCCTGGACACCGTGGTAGTCGAGCAGCACATCGATATTTTTGATATGCTCGTCGGGGACATTCGTACCGTCATATGTGCCCAGAGAGGGGGGTTTCTCTAGTCCCTTCAGAAGGTGCATGGTCATAATCTCCTGGGACAATGGGCCGCGGGGCTCGTCGTCACTACTGCTGCTGGTCCAAGACGGGGAGCGGGCATTCCTTCTGTACGTAGGATGGTGGTCTCGTCGGGAAGACAAGGTTCGTGCTCGGCCTTTGAATCTGGGCGGAGGCGAACATTGAGATTCTGCATGGTGGCCTCTTCTGGTCCTCTTGGATTTTGGGGAATGTTGGTTCCGAGGAGAGATGCGGTCGTGCTTGCGGATAGTCAAGGTCTCTGGCTCCGGATGTGTCGGACGGTTCCTCTCGCGCCGGGGAGGGGGACTTTATGGTCTCTGACGCTCCTTCCTCGATGACGGGGATCTTGGACGACTGGACTCTTATAATGCTCCAATCATCACATTCTGGTTGAGGATTAGGAGGTTGGTCTTGTTGAGAACCTCGAGGAGGGCAGCCAGGTCGGGTCGACGCTGGGCAGAGTTGGGACTGGAAGGTGTTGCGGGACGAGTGGAACTTCGCTGTGATTTGCACGAACAGGGGATGGAGAAGCTATGGCCCCGTCCCTTTGTCGGAGGACGTCGCCACCACGAGAGGTGGTAGCTCCGTTAGCGTCAGTCTTACTGAGGAGGAGGAAAGCAGAGTTGCGAGCATCAAGTGTATTGTCACGGCTGCCCATGATCGGGATTTTGAAGAATTATTTTGGTTTCGTGTCTACAAAAAGAGAAAAGACGGGGATAACTAGTTTCCCACAGACGGCGTCACTGATCTTACCGGTTGATCAGAACCTGAGATGGGCCAAAGACAATCGCCTGTGATGCTGGGTGTGAAATAGGATGAGGGGGTGTACCTGCAAGGCACTTCGATACTAAAGTAAGAATCGGGCAAGAGAGAGAGCAAATACAGAATATGAGTATATCTGGGTGAATATTGGATACCTGACCCTCTCAAGTGAGAACGTTTTTATAGTGCCCCTAGCGCTTGGTCATTGGTCTCTATTTTCGGGGCGAGATAACTGTTTCTCGAAGAATAGGTAACTGGCAGAACTAGTCGTTGCAACGGGTAAATGCATAGTTACGGGCACAGGCGTCTTAGCTGTTTCTGGATGTGCGTGACGGGCAGAAACTGGCGAGGAGAAGTATTTTGACCAAGGGTAAACTGGTCAGAAAGGTAAATTCTCCTCCCAAAGTGGTTGGACTTAGGCAATTGGGTCGTTCTGGGAGCAGAAGTGGATTGGGTCATGCCTAGCCATTGGATCAGTACAGAATATATATATATATATATATATATATATATATATATATATATATATATATATATATATATATATATATATATATATATATATATATATATATATATATATATATATATATATATATATATATATATATATATATATATGAAAACATAACAGAAAATAACAGTTTTTTGAATCACCAAGATGCAGAAAAATAGGCTTAAATGAGCGAGAGGTCGACCACAATATCCTATGAGTCGACCTAATGCATCCAAAATGATCTAATGCACAATTTACACATAGGGGACGATCTTATATGCCTAGATTTATGTATGTGGATCATTTTGCGCATATTAAAAAGATGAATGCAAGTTAAGACGAGATGATATCGTATAAAATACGCAGTGCAAAATTTTCCTAGTTTTGACATCATTAAAACAGAGTACTAAGGAACCTTGTCCTCACAATTTTACAATATGAAATTACTTATTCTAACGAAGTTGTTTAATTTCGTTTACGTATTTTCTGTTCTATGTTTTTGTCTTTTAGGGGTAAATGTTGCACTCTTGGTGTTTAACAAAATGCCTCGAAAGAGGTTTGTGTTTTGTAACATGTTTATGTGTATCTATTGGCATTTCATAGTGATAGAGGAAGTTTATGAGTTCAACATTCATTTCAACACTATCTTTAATCATCTATAAATTTATGAACGCTCAAAAAAGTTGGACAATATTAAAATTAAAGAAAGTCGAAATATACAAGCACAAGTCAAATTAATCATCCATAATTGAATTTTAAAAAAAGAAAGTGGATTCTCACTCTATATTGTCATTGATGTGTTTACAAAAGAATAAATTATTAAATAAAATATTATTGCATTTGGTTTGGTTGTTTCTTAACATGTGAACAATCTATGTATAATGTCCTTTATGATTATGTAGTGTTTTATCTTAAAAGTGTTTTTAGGCTATGTAGTATTTTCTCTTAAAAATGTTTCTAAACTATGTATAGAATATGTTCCATTTTAATTGCCTCATGATATATGTAATTCTATTTAACTATTAATGAAGCTGAATTTTACCATAAAAAAGAACATTACACCGTATACTATTGTTTTTAAATTCAAGGTATTTAGTAGTTTTATTGTTTTTAAAGAAATACTTTGGTCATTTTAATTTAAATCCTATTAACCATTTTCTTCTCTTCTATCCTAATCACTCTCCTCCTGCATCATAACTCCAAAGAATTTTGTCTCTTCTCCTGCATCATAACTCCAAAGAAGTTCAAACTCTCTGTCCTCCTAAGAACAAAATTGTCCGCTATTCTCTTTATAAAATCAAACTCTATTAACATACAATAAAGTGAAGTACTAGTAAATCACTTAGTAAATTAGTAAATTACATTAATCATATTTTAATTTATATTAAATTATATTTTATATAATCGACAGTGTAAAAAAATTTACATGGTCAATTCATCACTATTATTCGTTTGCATTATTTTACATGTTATTAAAATAAAAATCAAACTTCTTTTTATATTTAACGTTTATAATTAACTGATAATGTAAAATTCTTACACTATCATTAATTCTTACATGTAATTTATTTCATATTTTTTATGTTTAAGAACTCATTAACTAACGTCTAAAATACATCAACCAATATTTTACATATAATAGCCAATTTTATTTAACTTTTAATTTACTTTATTTACTTTTAATTTATTTTATTTTTTTATGTTTGGAAACTACTTAACCAACATTTGAGATATATTAACCAACTTTTCACATAAAAATTAACCAATTTTATACTAGTTGTAATTTATTTATTTTATATTTTGATGTCAGGACATTCATTAACCAATATTTGAAATGTATTAACTATTTACATACAATTAACCAACTTCATATTTTGATCTATAAAAATTTATAAAATTTCATAAACAACAAGAAATAAAAAATTCGAAACCCGCAATAATATTTTGTAAATTGCAAATTCTTTTAAAGATGTAATTTTTATTCTATTTTTCTTCTTATTCCTCTTAAATAATTACATTGCTCTATATGACATAGTTAGACCCAAATTATAATAAAGTAGAAATAATGTGGAATAAGGGATGAAACAAAATTAAGAAATATAAACATAAAAGAAGAAAAATATTGAAAGAATAAAGGAAATTACAATCGAAGAGATGACAGCTTGACGTGGGCGTTGGAAGAAAATAGAATATATTAGAAGAGAGAAGGTGAAAGATGAAAAGATGCGAGAGAAAATTTCATGTCAATTAATTCACTTGTTGCATTTTTTCAGATGCAAAATTAAATAATATAAAAAACTCATGGATTTGTTTAGTGAATATATTTCCATGCATTTTTAGTAAAAAACTCATGCATTTTTATCTAGCATGACGGTAACTGATTCTATACAGTAAAAACAAAAGATTGTTCAGTGAATATATTTCCATGCCTCATGCACTAGTTCATCGTTTATGAAGGGACGCAAAGACCACATTAGGCAGTAGCTTTCCAGTTCTTCCGATGACACGTTCAGATCTAATGCAGAAACGATCCTTTCCTGTAACAAAATGGACAATTTTAAGAGTTGTTCATTTGACTGACAGTAGTGACACAGACAAACAAATGATTACCTGCATCAAATAGTCTTGCTGAACCATACCGTATACAGCAACCATCAGAGCAGCTAAATGTGTGGGATCACTATTTTTCTTAACTTTTCTAGTTGTAGAATGACAGAAAGCAGTATTTTCGTCCTGAGTAAAAAGCAATTGCCAATCTAGTGAGCCGTTATCATCAAATAGCATGAAAATGATGCACAAGTCTAGTAGATGTGCATAACTTTACAACCAATTTCTAATCTAGTGAAACATTTTTATTCAAAATATTTTGACAATCTTGACTCATCTCTATCAGTATCAAGCCTTAAATCAGATAGTGTAAAAAAAATTGAAATTGCATAAGAAATTCTCTCAATTAAGAAACTTAGTAGCATTACCAAATTATCATAGATTGCTTGCTCATTCAATTTAAAATCCATATCCGTATCTGAAAGGGATGATAATTTTCCATGTATACTTTGCATAACATTTTGTACATTAGCCTGTATATCTTCAAGTTCATCAAGTACTACCTTCACTGCAAGACATGAACAATTAGTTAATTGTCAAACACAAACTACTTATGAAAAGAAAAATGAAGCATACTCCAAGTTGGAGTTGCATATTCATAAATTAAGCTGACAGGTTGTTTGTTCCAAGCACAAATATTAAATGTACGAGACACGCCAGTCCAGCTTCATAAATTAAAACTGAAGACAACATAAATAACGCCTCACCGGTGTGTGTATATATATATATATAAACACAATCCGTAGCAGTAAAGGAAGTAATCAATCATAATTTTTTTTGGTTGAAAATGACGCCATACCTTGTCTTATCTGGAGAAGAAGTCTATGTTTACATGAGCCCACTTCCATACGCATATTTTGACACATTGTAAAAATTAATAGAGTCAGGGAAAAGAAATAGAAAAAAAATCAAATAAGTATAGATGCATACTTCATGATGACATTACAAGTGTGGATGTGTTTATATGGCTTGTCATGAGACATGATTCACAGGTCAAGACAGGACATTGCACATTGTTTGACCAGTGTTGGTGGTAGGAAAGGTTTTTTGATGTTATTGGAAGGACAAATGTATTTTGGAACAAAAAGTGCATTATATGGCCAATTTTGGGGAGTTCAATCAAAATTTGAAGGGGAAGTGACTTAAGTAAAGTGGATACGAGAATCATTAGGAAACTTAAAACGTGTGAATAGGGGAAACTGTAATAAATGTTAAAAAAACAAGAACTGCAAGCCAAAAATGTTAATTCAACTAAAATGGCCTTGAAGAAATTACTTTGTAAAAATCCTATTGATCACAGGAATGAAAAGCATGTAGTTAGAGGTCAATATAAGCAAGCACTGGTTGAGACTTGCAAAATGCCCAAGTGTTGTAAATCGCAGATAATAGCAATTTGATCAAATTTCGCTACGTTATAGTGACATAGTCACTATTGGACAATACTTTGTACTATATAGTGTATCGTGGAACAATTGCGACGGTTAAAATTCCATTATGCTATAACTGCTATTTGACATATTTGGAACCCCTAAGCTCGTAATGAACAAAACTGCCCCTTCCTCTTAACTACCAACAAAATAGAGTCGTACTTACAATTGGTGGCATTCTGGTCAACATCTTTGCGGTTCTTACTTTCAAAGTTGACATAGGACTTAAGTCTTTCGGTTTCATTAGCTTTAATGATGCTGTTGACTAATTTAGAACTTGTATCTATAGGAGGCTTCCGAATAAACTCTGTAAGACAAAGTAAAAGTTAAGAGATAGCTGAAGAATACACATGATAAAGTAATATCTGAAGAATACCTAATGCTTGTTGAAAACCGGACAATAGCTTGCTTCCAGCAGTTCCCAACTCATCAATCTTTGTAAACCTATAATATGGTAGCTATTGAGAAATATGAAATTATAGAGATATATTCTGTGAAAAAACAAGTACAAAATTATTCTGTTGAAGCAATAATTCAAAAAAATATCCATACGTAAGGATCACCTCAAGTAATTTTACATCGAGATCTAATTATCTCATACGAAATGAAGCAGACACAAACACAACACCTGACACAACACCGCGACATAAACACGGATAATAATTTTGAGAAAAAAGAAATGATTGTGTGTGGTCACAGGTGTTGGTGTGGGACACTCAGACATGTTTTAACATGAAGTGTCAAGGCTATATGTTCTAGTTAGATGAGATTCATAAAAGAAGACCAAAATCCCTAAAGCATGGAGTTCGCAATCTTGCAAGAACAAATTTCAAGGAAATAATTGATTTTGAAGGCACACAACAAAGACAAGCTTATAACTTGTTTACTTGACAAGCCTATGACTTATTTTGAAGGAAATATTTAGGAAACAGTTAAAAATAGATAAAAAAAAAAGTAAAATCGGAAAACATTTAGAAATTACCTTGTCATGAAATGTCTGAATTTGTTTAAAATTTCTTTCTCCAAGTCAAAAATTGACTTGTCTTCCATGGTTACCATTCTGCATTTATATGAAAAAATAGTATTAATAAAAAAAAATCCGTGTGAGAAGGAATATGTGCAAGCACCATTATCTTGATCTGGAAAGATACAAGCAAGGTCCAGATGGATAGTGGTTGAAGGGGTAAAGTTGATATGAACAGAATTGTAAGATCGGGTGTTGTGGATGTGAGTTGAAAATGTGAATTAGCAAAGAGAAAACCATGACTTACATACACACTTGACTTAACGGGTAACCACAGTTCTTGAGGCAGCAACGACATGATCTTCTTTTACTAGCAATGTTATTTGCAACTTTTCTTTTCAACTAGCTGCAGTCTCCCATTTATGAGTTGCGCCGCCTCTAGGTTAGAAATCAACATCAAACAAGAATTGGGCTCCAACCCAACAGACCCCACTTATATTTTACTAATACACCTCACAAAATTGTATATTTTACTAATATACAATTTTTTTATGAGAAAAACTAAAAAAATATGTGTTTAAATATAATGTTGAAATCAGTGTTTTAAAAATCAGGCCGAGCTGGACGGTCAACTCAGGAATTGGAGGGGTCATTGATATGGTTTGATTGCTGGATCGAGTAAGTTATTAAATCAGTGATGATCAATCAGAATCAGTCAAAACTAGTAAAAATCGACAAATCGGCAATTTTGAAAACTGGAGAGTTAAATGCTTGTTTATATTTCTCAGACAAAACGACGTCATTTTTTATTAAAATAAAACTTCAAAAACTAATGGATTAATATTCTTTTTGGTCTCATATTTTAAACTTGAGGTTCAATTTGGTCATTTAACTTAAAAATGGTTCATATTGATCGAACCGTGTGGGAGCATAATTGGTCGAACCGCGTGGATAAACTGGATTAATTCGTATAACTCGTTTAAATAAACCGGTCTTTATAAGAAAACTATATAGTTACTAAACTGATTGAACCAGATGAGTCGGTCTTTAAAAAATCACAACACCTACAAAATTTCAAAAATTTAAAATATCAAAATTTTAGAAATTCATTCATAATATCGAACAAAATCATAATCAAAATCATAATATCATTAAATTCAAATTCTAAACATAATCATCATCACATACAACAAAATACAAATTTCGAATAAATATCGAACAAATTACAATTGTAATATAAACTGAATAACAAAATAACTGGGTGTGTCTTATAAATTTAATTCAAAAGAGAGAAAGTTGTTCTAAATAAGTTTTGAATAAAGTTTATTTATATTTCAAAGATTAGTTTTGGCTTAATACTCTTTTTAGTCATGTATTTTAACCTCAAGGTTCATTTTGGTCCCTTAACTTTAAAAATGTCCATATTGATCCCTTAACTTTTCAAAACGTTCTATATTAGTCCTTTTTGTCTAATTAGTGACGAATTTAGCGACTGATTTTTGAATTTTTCCGTCACTAATAGAACAAAAATGACTAATATGGAACGTTTTTGCATCTACAAAGCATCTTGGAGAACACCTATGATATCTAAAGTTGCAAAGAATTCATTATGTTTTCATGTGCATTCTTGATAATGGAAACAACGGAAAACATGATATAACAAATGATACGTAAAGATTAAAAAAGATTCACTATGTAAGAGATCATTGCTGAATTTTCCAGTAAGAAAATCAACTATAGACTTAAATTGGAATTGGTGTGTCGGTATTTATGGTAGTACCATTTTTAAAATTGTAGTTCCTCCATTGAATACAAGTTTCACCTTATTGAGGCATAACTTGAAAGTGTCGCCATTAACGATAGGATCCCTATTGTAAACACAATATGTTTCATGTTCCTCAAGTTATGGAATCCAATCATTAAACTCTCGATTCTGAATTATCACGTGAATTTGGTCACCTTACAATGAAAAAAGCTTATTTAAAGGAAGACTAAGTAAAAAATTTACAAACATGGTAGGAAACGATTACTTTCGCATCTTGTATGACCATTTCGAGATGCTGCAGTCCACTTTTCTCTTTAACAACCCAAAGATCAACGACACGGATTAGCATTTTCCATACCTAATTTTCTTGCACCAAATCCTTGATTAGAATCGGTGGTCTTGACATGGTTCCTTAAAAATCTAGCCAAATGTTAAGAATGTTACATAATGAAGATAAGTTAACATGATAAAATATCAGTTTTTATGTAAATGGACATAAAATCAACATGATACTTGTATATAAAAAATAGCATAGGAAACAACAAAAAAGAATAACCATAATGATCCATGTTTGAATAATACATAAGCAATCTATAAAACTAACATGAAAAGCTTGATAAACATGAACATGAATATAAATCATAAGACAACAAATCATAAAAACAACAACGACATTTAACATGAACATGAAAATTATAAAACAACAAATCATAAATAGAAGCTGAACATGAATATGATAATAATAAAACAACATGAAAACAACCAAGAACATGAACATGAAAACAACAAAGAACATTAACATGAATATGAAAACAACAAAGAACCAAAATGAAAAAAAAACGTTGTTCAGATGAAAACGATGTTGAACTGATCTGCCACGGAAAAAAACATGATAAACATTGTTGTGGTTGAATTAATTTTTTATGAATGACACAAAATAAAAGAAGAAGAACACGGTTTCATGAATATTTGTCGTTCATACCAAGAACGAAACGCAAAACACATGGAACAACACAAATCAGCGAGATTTCACAATGAAAAGAACAAACCTATCCAGTTAGTGTTGCGATTTCACTTTACTTTCTTATGTCGAAGAGTATTTTGCATGAGAAATGTGAAACAAGAAAGTATAGTCTGAGCTGCAATGAAGGATAGAGAAATAGAGAAATGGTAGAGTTAGCTTTTACAACGTAGCTGTCTGCAAAATGTTAGGATATTTGCATGTGAATCAATTTTGCAAAAATAAAGAAAAATTTGTGTTCATTAGCCAATCAACTCACGCCATATGGCAGCAAGGAAGAGGGATAAAGGTGATTAAGTGAACTCTTTTATTAATTAAAAAAAAAAGTAAAAAAGGTAAAACAGTCTAACCATCCAATCAATCTTTAAAGGGTTGATAATAGATTTTTAAATAGAAATGGATAATAATGATAGTGTGTATATATATATATATATATATATATATATATATATATATATATATATATATATATATATATATATATATATATATATATATATATATATATATATATATATATATATATATATATATATATATATATATATATATATATATATATATATATATATATATCACAAACTTTATATATAATAAAAATTAATATAAATAACGTGTTCAATTTATAAAAATAAAAAAAAGACAAATTTACTTTTTAATAATTAGCTTGATTTAAAGTTAGATTTAATCATTAACATAATCAATTATTTTTGTTAGAAAAAAAATGATATTTGTTCTATCAAACTAGTTCGGTTGTTGTATCAGAACATTCAAATATTTAAATATAGTGATGTAAGTTTGAATTTTCATCATTTATTCATTTTTAAAAGATAAATTTCAACCACTAAATTATTAGATTAAAATACAATGATATTTATGTATTTTATATTTATGCATATATTTGTTAAACTAATATTTATAGAGCTTTATAATATTCTATGCTACTTTTAGTTATTCAAAGGAGGGTCCACAATAAGTAAAACTTAGTTAAGATATTATAGTTTCCGTCTCCACAAAAACTTTTATAAAAAAAATAAAGCGGGGCATGGAGAATATAATATAGAACATGAGTTGAAAATCAAGAAATGCCTTGTAAAAAATTGAGGTGGACTCTACAGCTCTACACTTCTTAAATTTTAAAATGACAAAAGTTCATGTGTGTCTTATTAATATTTTTGTTTGAAAAAAAAAATTGATATAATAAAAAAATAGAGAATCAAATTGAAAATCTTAATTATGCTTGCCAAAAATTACGAGGTAAAGAGACATGTTAAGGGTCATTAAATACGTCTTGGACCCACTTATATTCTTTAAATAAAATAGATTATTAAAAATGACATTTAATATAAAATCAAAATTTGGAACGTTGCAAATTGTCAACCTTAAAAACCGCACGAGTCATAAATTACATGGACATGCCTTATTTATTTGTTGATTACCTTTTTCATTTGTAACCCATGCTACACATTGTTAGAGCTACTCTGCAACTTTCAATTTCACAAGTTTGTAGTGTTGCTTTATTCCAAGAAAACACTTACACAGGTACATACAGGTATATGGTATCAAACTAAAATATTTTTATTTTTGTTTTATTTTATTATTTCTTATTTTATGTATTTCTATTTATTAATTTTTGTGGAATGTCATTTTTTAAAATTATATTTTTTGTTTTATACTTTTATTCTTCGACACTTACAATAGAATTTTATAATTTATATTTATAATATTTTTTTAGATAATAAACAATGGAAGCTGTTAATAGAAGAAATTTTAATTTAAATGAGCGTCCAATAGAAAAAATTTCTTTAGAGAATGGTTATTTATAAACGGTCGTTGACCATTTTTTATCATAATATCATAGAGAAAAACATGTTAGAAGTTGAAAAAATTGAAACTTTTTTTTATTTTTGAGAATCAAAATCTTATATCTTCAAATCAAAATATTGTGATAAATAACTTTTAAGAAGAAGTTGATAAAGATAAGTTTGTGATGAGACAAATATAACTACTACAAAATACGCAGGTGTCTACAATGGATTCATATACACCAATATAATAGGTTAAAATTTTTTGCGCTAGGTGTCTAGTTGAATTTATAAACAGTAATTTAATTACGGTTGTCTTAAAAAATCGTAGTAATAAATAATGTGTAGCAAGTTTCGATTTCCAGCAACTATATTTTTTTTTTCATTTATTAGAGTACATCAAGCGTGTATCACTTAATCCATTATTTAAAGAATAAATTATAAATGATTTTATAACGGTTGTATAACGGTGAAGTAAACCAACCGTTGTTACATGGTATTAAG